CTTTGTCCTCTTTCGGCTCATTTGCGTTTCCAGCTTCCGTTTATATGTATGAGAGAGAGAGAGAGAGAGTGAGACAGAGAGAGCGAGAGAGAGAGAGAGAGAGCGAGAGAGAGAGAGAGCGAGAGAGAGAGAGAGAGAGAGAGAGAGAGAGAGAGAGAGAGAGAGAGAGAGAGAGAGAGAGTATGTGACATCAGTCCTAAAAGTACGAGGCATTCCCTGTCGTTAAGTCTCGTCTCAGTAAAACTTGTGTCCCGCAAATATATATACCGGGGGCGTGAGGGGGGGGACATACCCCCGACGCAGGGGAGGGGGTGGGAGGTGGGCTGGGGGTTATGGGGGAGAGTTGGAGTAGCGGGTATGGGAGGGAGGTGGGAGAGAGATGTGGGAGGGATGAAGAGGTCGAAGAACTGCCAAGCCGCTCTCCTGGGGTTAGCGAACACCAACATGTTGAGGCGAGAAATTACACCATCTTAAAGCAAAACTTGACAGCAAAGAGTCAACAGGGGGATTCCTAATTCGTGTCCGTCAAGCTGTGTCCGTCAAGTTGAATCCGTCAAGAATCCGTGAATCCATTTAGCGGTCTTTGTCCTCAGAGTTAAAACTTATAGGTGCTTTGATGTAGTTAGGTTTGGCCTTGTTATGTTTACGTTGGGTTGGGTTTAGATTAGGTTAGAAGGGGTTGGGGGTGGGTGGAGGGGGGTCGGGGTTGGGGGGAGGGGGGGAAGGTAACCAACCACACGAGGCATAGAAAACGTGATCTCATCGTCATTCGAACGACGACTGAAGTAGGCGCCTCACGTCTTTATAAGGCCGTGATGGCCTCTTCTGAATTCCTGCACCACTGCTACTGCCACGCTGACTGAGCACCCTTCACCACCATCACCACCATCACCACCATCACCATCACCACCACCACCATCACCACCACCAACCATGTGCACGTATCGTGTCCGAGAGAGCAGATAGGTGTGCAGGTATTCATTAACTAAATCCCCAGTAGTAATAAAATGCGATGCGGTCAACGCCATCTGTTGAGCGTCAGGAGAGATAAGCAGACTCCCCATTCAGTACTAACCAAGACGCGTAACAGAGGCATCGCCAAGTACACGTGATCGTGATGCTATTCTCTCACCCATTGCTAACGTGGTCCGGATATGTAACACGTTGTTCGACAACAATGTTTTCTTTTTATTGCTATTTCCAGAGTACGTGTTTGTGTTTAAAAGATATTTACAACAGCACTGTAGAGCCTGTAATAGGCAGGATGGATTTAATGAACAAATAAAACCTATTTGGATAGATTAGAATAGATTTGATTTAGAGCTGTTGGTTTTAAATGTGATTTAAGTAACCAAATCAAAGGGTTTATTAGATTGTATTAATTGCCGATTTAATTAGAAGGTAAATAGAGCCGAAGGTTGAACAAGCGGGTTATCAGACAACTAAACTTGAGACTGATCTAGTGTTCTTTATAGGTCCTTCCTTCTCTTTTCCTCCTCCTCCTCCTCCTGCTCTTCCTCCTTCCTCTCTCTTCCCCCTCCCTCCTCCGCTCTCCTCACCCAGTCACCACCTCTCACCTATCACCACTCATAAGTAACCTCACTCACAGTTCCCCTCAATATCCACCCCATCAATGACATGCTTCATGCGCCCCTTCTCCAGGCCCCGCCTCATTCCCCTCTCTAGTGACATCACCTGGCTCTCGCTTCTCCCCTCCCTCACCCCCCTCCCCAAGTGACGTCATTAAGTACCTATTCCGCCAGACTTCTAGATATCCCCAGAGGAAGCCTCCCCCCCCCACTTCCCTCCCTTCCCACCCCTTCCACCGTGCCGCCCCTCTCTACAACCCTCTCGTCCTTTTCCCTCTCAATTCCCTCACATGCCCCCATCTACCCTACACCTCTCCAACTCCACTACTTCGTCTACCCTCTTCTCCTCACCCATCTATCTCCCTCCCCCATACAATCGTCCCCTTCTCCTCCCCCCCCCCTCTCTCTCTCTCTTTCCCTTTCCCCCTACACCCCTCCCTGGCAAGCAGGGTAAACTCGGGACCAACCAACTAGCCCTCTCATCAACACCCAATCTCGCGAGACCGTCTGCCGGATCAACATCATTATACTCATTGATTACTTGTTCCGCTTCCAAACAGGTCGACGGAAAGGAGGGGGTTTTCAAGGTCTATTATGAGGAACTTCTTTGGATATATTTGGTTTTGTGCCAAAGTTGTGAGGATGCGTTAGCGCTTGAGCGATGGAGAGATCCGTATGACTTCTAGCATTCGGAGCTTAGGGAGCCCTCAGGGAGGCTGTAGGGTAGTAGTCTCCGTCGTCAGTTCACAGCTGAGGGTCCTGGGTTCGAGTCCTTTGGCAGGATAGAGATGGTTGGGCGTGTTTTGTTTCATCTAATGCCTCGGTTCGCCGGGCAGTCAATAGGTACATAGGGATTGGGTATTAGTTGTGGGTTGCATCTTGGGGAAGGTCAGTAGTAGGTCTTAGCTCTAGGCCTGGAGGGACCGCGGTCCCAGGTCCTAGGAAAGCTGTTTATCGAGGTGCCCCTAAGACCTAGGGGGATCTAGGGGTGGGTTCCACCTAGGGGATCCTCCTAGGTGGACCTAGGAGGACCTCGAAAAACAGGTTTCCTGGCCTCGTAAAAGAGAAACCAAATAGTTGACCAGACCACACACTAGAAGGTGAAGGGACGACGACGTTTCGGTCTGTCCTGAACCATTCTCAAGTCGAATGTGAGAATGGAGATTGTGTCGACATTCTCAAGTCGTCAATCGACTTGAGAATGGTCCAAGACGGACCGAAACGTCGTTGTCCCTTCACCTTCTAGTGTGTGGTCTGGTCAACTTACTTTAGCCACGTTATTGTGACTCGTCGCCTACGCAAGAGAAACCAAATACGCTCCCATCTTCATAAAAAGCAACATCAGCATGAGTGATGCTATGAACATCAGTGCCATTGTCTTCGTGAAGAAGTTGTCTGTCTTCTTGATCTTGTGATCTTCTTGATGGTGAGCTGTGTGCTTAGAAGTCATCTTTCTGTAGGTTATGCCTTTCACGTTTCTTCCCTCCTTCTTGTAATCTATTGAAAAAAGCTCCTGTAGAATAGCTTATTAGGTGAATCATGTCCTGTAATGTTGACCTCACCGTCGGATATAAGATAAGACGTTGCTTATCGGATATAAGATAAGACGTCGGATATAAGATAAGACGTTGGATATAAGACGTTGCGTTACTTTGCTTTTTTAATGACATCGACATAATCTTCAGGGTATTCGTAGTTGACAAGGACCTGGCTTAGCACTCGGCTGAGCTCCTTCTCAACCTGCTTGCAACTGGGTCTGTGTACAAGGCTTAGGGAGGGGGAGGGGGAGGGGGGGGGACACCACCTATACCACCCACTCGTCTTCTGAGACCGGGCAGGTGGTCCCCTCACCTACTTATCTCCTGAAACTCTGCAGGTGAAAGGTCCCTATACCCCCTATCGCCCCCCCCCCTCCCTCACCTCCCCTACCCTCTCATCTGACACTCTGCAGGTGGCAACTCTGGGTTCTCCATCACCTTAGCAACCTGTTCTCTATCGCCAAATCTTCTTAAAGCCTTCTTGATTCTCTCCCGCCGTTTACCCGCCTCCTCGTCTTCTCTAAGCATGCTGCTGCTGCTGCATTCTCAGTGACCCCAAAATCAGTCATCTCAACTCATCACCACTACGCCGCTCCCGTCGTGGACTGCAGTATGCTACAAGAAAATGCAGTTGTAGCACATTGTATGTGGCATTAAAAATACAACTCTTGTGCTCCAGTTACCGAGGTGACGGGAAACAACTGGTTGGCCATTAGATC